GTCAGAATCTTCGGGCCGACACTGCTATTCTATTGCCGTTGGCTTGCAAGATGAAACCAATATGCTTTTCTGGATCTAGGTGAATAATTTATAGTATATCATTTTTTTTCAGGAAACACTATAAGGGTAAACTCTCATACTGTCTTTTAAAATTGCATGTTTTTATTTACATAAGAAGAAAGTCAATATGTGTTCACCAAATATGATTTGGAAAATGCTTTTGGGTTCCTTTCTTTGTAGGGTTTTTGGATATATTATTTTTTTAGACATGATTGCGGTCACACTATAAGTGAGCACTTTTTGGATGGAGATTAAAATGTCAGCTTTACTGCCGCTAAAGCTGTGTTGCAGAATGTGGCTTAGATGAGTGGCCAGATGGCTTGCCAAGGATACTTTACTTCTGAGTTAGACAGAGTGGCCTCCCAGTCAGAGGCAGGGCTAGGGAGCCCACGTGCTTTAGGCATTATACATATTGCCTTTTATTATTTATCATTGTTTTATAGGCCTTTTCACATTTCATGCAAATATATTTATTAACTACTTCAAGTGGCTGCTTAAGGATGATGCATATCATAGTGTAATTAACCATTCCCTCCATAACTGGACACACGGGTCGTTCCGAGTTTTCCCTGCTCTCAGTAACCCTACAGTGGCTATCTTCATGCCGAAAGCATTTCCGTGTCATCCTAAAATCTGAAGGCCTTTGAAACGCTGGGAGAAGCCCATCAAACCACTGAGAATTCACAAATAGTGAAGGTGGCATATGTGTTTCTTGCAGCTGTAATTAAAATGCGTTCCCCAGAGTGGAACTGACAGGCTCAGCCTTGAGGAAGCCCAGAAACGATGCTCGGGCAGGAGGCAGGAGTCTCTAGACGAGGCGAGGCGCATGCTTCCAGTCTAGCTGTGGCCCGCTTGGCCTTTCCTGCTAACCCAGCCCACACACGGTTCGGGAAGGCAGTGTGGTCAGCAGGCAGGCATCGCCCTGTGCGCTTTCATCTCTGTGAAGCTCACACGAACCCATAACTCTGTTGATAGAAATGTCTTCAGTTATAGGGCTGGTTGAGTCAATGCCAGGGAAGGCTTGGGGGATGCACGGGCCCTTGGAAGTGTGTCCGTGGGAGAAATAAGTGTGCAGCTACGGTCTGAATCCTTATCTCAGAGCCCAAGCCCTTCCTTTCCTGACATTATGCCTTGTGGCTCAAGGGTCAGATAGACCATCTTAGAATCCCACTTTGCCACTTCCTACCTATGTGGCCTTGGGCAAGTCATGTAGCCTCTGTGACTTTTCTGTCACATGAGGACAAAGCAGTACCTCTTGTCACTATATAGATTGTGAGTATAAGTGCTTAGAAGCGGGCTAGGCACATAGTTCTCAAATGTTGGTTCTGTCTGAACTCCATCCCTCTTTCCTATGTTCTCTTTTTGTCAAAAGATCAGCATATCTGTATAGTGTTGTCCTCTTTATCATGCCTTTGTTTACAATGGCCAGTGTCTGTGACATGCTTTGTTTGCTCATGGAGTCATAGACACCTAATTCCACTGATTTGGCACATCCCTTTAAGACATGCCTGACCACACACGCATGTCACTTAACACAGAGAACCTTTCACAAGGTCCATTTCCCATCTAGAGCTCTTCATAAATCCCCCTTCTAACAGAGAGAATGCTGGATCTGCCCATGGGTTCAGCGAATCTGATTTCCCTGTGCAGGGGGCCTGGCCCAGACCCCGTGTCTTCCGCTCCTCATCACTGCTTCCCACCGGTTTTCTGCACTGTCCTGAGACATGTCACAGGGCCCCCCATGCTGGAGGGACTTTGCACTTTGGGTCTCTGCTCTGTGAGGCTCCTAGTGCACCAAGCAAGAAAAAATTGGGGTGTGTGAATGTGTAAGTCTGCAAAAAAAAAAGTTTAGTCTGAAATCAGCAGTTTTCAAAATCTGTGCATTTTGGAGACTGTGCAGAGAGAGTTAATGCTGACCCTGCCTTCTTCCTCCTTTATTTCTGAAACAAGGCCCGGGCTTGTTTGATAAATCGCTCTGATCATCCCTCTGCCCCAGCTCTCAGAAGGTGAGGGCTGCCTCCTGTCCTGTGGTCACAAACCCCGCAGGAATAGATGAGCATGTTCTTTCAAAAGGGGAGCCAGCCAGACCGTCAGCTTGGAAAGACGCTGTTAAATTTAATTTATGTTTGATATGTGCCTACAGCCAATCCAATCTTTAGAA